TGGAGTCAGGACTCGAGAAGAAGCTGGAGCTCTGATGGAGTCAGGACTCAGGAGACACAGGAGAGCTGGAGCTATGATGGAGTCAGGGACTCAGAGAGACACGAGGAGAGCTGGAGCTCTGATGGAGTCAGGACTCAGAGAGACAGAGGAGAGCTGCGAGCTCTGATGGAGTCAGGACTCAGAGAGACACGAGGAGAGCTGGGAGCTCTTGATGGAGTCAGGACTCAGAGAGACACGAGGAGAGCTGGAGGCTTTTGATGGAGTCAGGACTCAGAGAGACACGAAGGAGAGCTGGAGCTCTGATGGAGTCAGGACTCAGAGAGACACGAGGAGAGCTGGAGCTCTGATGGAAGTCAGGACTCAGAGACACGAGGAGAGCTGGAGCTCTGATGGAGTCAGGACTCAGAGAGACACGAGGAGAGCTGGAGCTTGATGGAGTCAGGACTCAGAGAGACACGAGGAGAGCTGGAGCTCTGATGGAGTCGGACTCAGAGACACGAGGAGAGCTGGAGCTCTGATGGAGTCAGGACTCAGAGAGACACGAGGTAGAGCTGGAGCTTGATGGAGTCAGGACTCAGAGACACGAGGAGAGCTGGAGCTCTGATGGAGTCAGGACTCAGAGAGACACGAGGAGAGCTGGAGCTCTGATGGAGTCAGGACTCAGAGAGACACGAGGAGAGCTGGGAGCTCTGATGGAGTCAGGACTCAGAGAGACACGAGGAGAGCTGGAGCTCTGATGGAGTCAGGACTCAAGAGACACGAGGAGAGCTGGAGCTCTGATGGAGTCAGGACTCAGAGAGACACGAGGAGAGCTGGAGCTCTGATGGAGTCAGGACTCAGAGAGACACGAGGAGAGCTGGAGCTCTGATGGAGTCAGGACTCAAGAGACACGAGGAGAGCTGGAGCTCTGATGGAGTCAGGACTCAGAGAGACACGAGGAGAGCTGGAGCTCTGATGGAGTCAGGACTCAGAGACACGAGGAGAGCTGGAGCTCTGATGGAGTCAGGACTCAGAGAGACACGAGGAGAGCTGGAGCTCTGATGGAGTCAGGGACTACAGAGAGACACTAGGAGAGCTGGAGCTCTGATGGAGTCAGACTCAGAGACACGAGGAGAGCTGGAGCTCTGATGAGTCAGGACTCAAGAGGAGAACACGAGAGAGCTGGAGCTCTGATGTGAGTCAAGGACTCAGAGACACAGGAGAGCTGGGAGCTCTGATGGAGTCAGGACTCAGAGAGACACGAGGAAGCTGGAAGCTTGATGGAGTCAGGACTCAGAGAGACACGAGGAGAGCTGGAGCTCTGATGGAGTCAGGACTCAGAGGACACGAGGAGAGCTGGAGCTCTGATGGAGTCAGGACTCAGAGAACACGAGGAGAGCTGGAGCTCTTGATGGAGTCAGGACTCAGAGAGACACGAGGAAGAGCTGGAGCTCTGATTGGAGTCAGGACTCGAGACACGAGGAGAGCTGGAGCTCTGATGGAGTCAGGACTCAGAGAGACACGAGGAGAGCTGGAGCTCTGATGGAGTCAGGACTCAGAGAGACACGAGGAGAGCTGGAGCTTTGATGGAGTCAGGACTCAGAGAGACACGAGGAGAGCTGGAGCTCTTGATGGAGTCAGGACTCAGAGACACGAGGAGAGCTGGAGCTCTTGATGGAGTCAGGACTCAGAGAGCACGAGGAGAGCTGGAGCTTTGATGGAGTCAGGACTCAGAGAGACACGAGGAGAGCTGGAGCTTTGATGGAGTCAGGACTCAGAGAGACACGAGGAGAGCTGGAGCTCTGATGGAGTCAGGACTCAGAGACACGAGGAGAGCTGGAGCTCTGATGGAGTCAGGACTCAGAGAACACGAGGAGAGCTGGAGCTCTGATGGAGTCAGGACTCAGAGACACGAGGAGAGCTGGAGCTTTGATGGAGTCAGGACTCAGAGACACGAGGAGAGCTGGAGCTCTGATGGAGTCAGGACTCAGAGAGACACGAGGAGAGCTGGAGCTCTTGATGGAGTCAGGACTCAGAGAGACACGAGGAGAGCTGGAGCTCTGATGGAGTCAGGACTCAGAGAGACACGAGGAGAGCTGGAGCTTGATGGAGTCAGGACTCAGAGAGACACGAGGAGAGCTGGAGCTTTGATGGAGTCAGGACTCAGAGAGACACGAGGAGAGCTGGAGCTCTGATGGAGTCAGGACTCAGAGAGACACGAGGAGAGCTGGAGCTTTGATGGAGTCAGGACTCAGAGAGACACGAGGAGAGCTGGAGCTCTGATGGAGTCAGGACTCAGAGAGACACGAGGAGAGCTGGAGCTTTGATGGAGTCAGGACTCAGAGAGACACGAGGAGAGCTGGAGCTCTGATGGAGTCAGGACTCAGAGAGACACAAGGAGAGCTGGAGCTCTGATGGAGTCAGGACTCAAAGAGACACGAGGAGAGCTGGAGCTTTGATGGAGTCAGGACTCAAAGAGACACGAGGAGAGCTGGAGCTTTGATAGAGTCAGGACTCAAAGAGACGAGGAGAGCTGGAGCTCTGATGGAGTCAGGACTCAGAGATACGAGGAGAGCTGGAGCTTTGATGGAGTCAGGACTCAAAGAGACGAGGAGAGCTGGAGCTCTGATGGAGTCAGGACTCAAAGAGACGAGGAGAGCTGGAGCTCTGATGGAGTCAGGACTCAGAGACACGAGGAGAGCTGGAGCTTTGATGGAGTCAGGACTCAAGAGACGAGGAGAGCTGGAGCTCTGATGGAGTCAAGGACTCAAGAGACACGAGGAGGAGCTGGAGCTTGATGGAGTCAGGACTCAAAGAGACACGAGGGAGAGCTGGAGCTTTGATGGAGTCAGGACTCAAAGAGACCGAGGAGAGCTGAGCTCTGATGGAGTCAGGACTCAAGAGACACCGAGGAGAGCTGGAGCTTTGATGGAGTCAGGACTCAAAGAGACACGAGGAGAGGCTGGAGCTCTGATGGAGTCAGGACTCAGAGACACGAGGGGGAGAGACTGAGGAGAGCTGGAGCTTGATGGAGTCAGGACTCAAGAGACACGAGGAGGAGCTGAGCTCTGATGGAGTCAGGACTCAGAGGACACGAGGGAGAGCTGGAGCTTGATGGAGTCAGGACTCAGAGAGACACGGGAGAGCTGGAGCTCTGATGTGAGTCAGGACTCAGAGAGACACGAGGAGAGCTGGAGCTCTGATGGAGTCAGGACTCAGAGAGACACAGAGGAGAGCTGGAGCTCTTGATGGAGTCAGGACTCAGAGAGACACGAGGAGAGCTGGAGCTTTGATGGAGTCAGGACTCAGAGAGACACTGAGGAGAGCTGGAGCTTCTGATGGAGTCAGGACTCAGAGAGACACGAGGAGAGCTGGAGCTTTGATGGAGTCAGGACTCAGAGGAACACGAGGAGAGCTGGAGCTCTGATGGAGTCAGGACTCAGAGAGACACGAAGGAGAGCTGGAGCTCTGATGGAGTCAGGACTCTCAGAGACACTAGGAGAGCTGGAGCTTTGAGGGAGTCAGGATCAGAGAGACACGAGGAGAGCTGGAGCTCTGATGGAGTCAGGACTCAGAGAGACACGAGGAGAGCTGGAGCTCTTGATGGAGTCAGGACTCAGAGAGACACTGAGGAGAGCTGGAGCTTTGATGGAGTCAGGACTCAGAGAGACACGAGGAGAGCTGGAGCTCTGATGAGTCAGGACTCAGAGAGACACGAGGAGAGCTGGAGCTCTGATGGAGTCAGGACTCAGAGACACGAGGAGAGCTGGAGCTCTGATGGAGTCAGGACTCAGAGACACGAGGAGAGCTGGAGCTCTGATGGAGTCAGGACTCAGAGAGACACGAGGAGAGCTGGAAGCTCTGATGGAGTCAGGACTCAGAGAGACACGAGGAGAGCTGGAGCTCTGATGGAGTCAGGACTCAGAGAGACACGAGGAGAGCTGGAGCTCTGATGGAGTCAGACTCAGAGAGACACGAGGAGAGCTGGAGCTTTGATGGAGTCAGGACTCAGAGATAACGAGGAGAGCTGGAGCTCTGATGGAGTCAGGACTCAGAGAGACACGAGGAGAGCTGGAGCTCTGATGGAGTCAGGACTCAGAGAGACACGAGGAGAGCTGGAGCTTTGATGGAGTCAAGACTCAGAGAGACACGAGGAGAGCTGGAGCTTTGATGGAGTCAGGACTCAGAGAGACACGAGGAGAGCTGGAGCTTTGATGGAGTCAGGACTCAGAGAGACACGAGGAGAGCTGGAGCTTTGATGGAGTCAGGACTCAGAGAGACACGAGGAGAGCTGGAGCTCTGATGGAGTCAGGACTCAGAGACACGAGGAGAGCTGGAGCTTTGATGGAGTCAGGACTCAGAGAGACACGAGGAGAGCTGGAGCTCTGATGGAGTCAGGACTCAGAGAGACGAGGAGAGCTGGAGCTCTGATGGAGTCAGGACTCAGAGACACGAGGAGAGCTGGAGCTTTGATGGCAAACACTGACGGTTCATTTGGAGCTTCGGCCGGAGAATTCACGAGACATGTCACGGGCCACGGTCTGACCACACAGCAGAGATGCCACAATCAATTCTGAAACCCCTCCTGTAGCTCCAGGTTTTAGTTCAGAGTGTAATCACCAACATTCTTCAATAGAGAGACTAAACAGCTGAGGAAACTGAATCACATTCGTTGTCTCTTATGGCTCGGGGTCATCTGCACCCGAGAAGGATGTGTTCCAGGTGTCCCACAACAACAACTATCTCTGACCGAGAGCTGCCCGCTCACAAACTGGTAACAACAACTTGCTAGAGCAGCCCCTCCTTCAGGGGGATAGCGGCTGCTCGAGGCTGGTCAGCTGCGTCAGAGGGCGAAGGGTAAACATGTATACAGAATTATTCCCTGACAACCAGTTATATGCTGTTGCCCCATTACGCCATCTAGTGATCAAATAACAAAACACATAAACCATTCTAATGGGTGCAGCAACCTGTTTAACTTCAGCATGTGAGAGTAATGTCTTCCTCTCTCTGTCTGCCAGGTGACGTACGGCTCTTTCGACTACACCTCACTCCTCTATCTGTCCGACTACGGCTCTGACTTCTCCGGAGGAAGATTCATCTTCATGGATCCTAATGGCAACCGGACCGTGGAGCCACGAGCAGGTAACCGTTAAAAATAGTAAATCCAGTCGCTAGTAATCAGTAGTAACACCCTGGCTTTGTCTGGTAATCCTCTGAACCCACACTTAGTAGGTTAAGTCAGAGAGATAAGGGGTTTTATTATACTTAGAGTTATAATTGCTGCTTCAATAATCCAGAGGTTTTACTGTGTGTAAGAAGAGGATTAGGCTTTATCCGGTATTTAGTACCTGTGGGGTTTGACTTAAACGCATCGTGATCTCAAAGGAAATACAGCGGAGTGTGTATGTATAGAATTGAAAGAAAATATAGGAAAGTTAATGGATATTTTCTTTGCAAATCCCACATGGCAAAATAACCTTTACAGGGAGTGATGTTCCCTGGAGTACGATTGGACTTGGCAGGAGATTAGGATCTATTTTCCGCCTCTTTGCTCTTCTGTTTTGACTGATTTCTCCTTTTCTTTGTACACTTTCTCCCTTCATTTCCCTCCAACGCTTAATGTATCACCTTAACAGTGTTCTTGATCAACATTGAAAGGTCATGAAAGGAATCTTGTCGACTTGGAAGTTGAGAGGAATTTAAACGAGGGCCAACAGTTTTGTGTGTTTCAAGTCAACGTTATTTATCTACTGTAGATCATAAATGCGTCTGAAGGGGCTTTGCTGTCTGTACATCACACAACGCCCTCTATCTTGAGATGCCAAATTCAACAAAGCAAAGGCGGGGAGACAGAAGTTGTTGGAAACTACTTTTCCTGGTAAAATAGCTAAAACAATGCAAATACTGTGTTAAAGATGTAGTCTATTTTGGTGTTTCGAGTCCTTGAGTTTGGTATTTTTCGCCATCTTAGAGCCAGAAGGACCTCTTTATCTTGTATTTGACTCTAAATGTGATCATAATTTACTAAAGGAACATCATGCTGTATCAAAGAGGAATCAAACCTAGCGATTGAAACCATCAAATCATCAGGGAAATGTTTACTAAGGTAATAAATCACGTGAGAAGTAAGGATATGTTTTTCATAGACTTCTGCAATTTGTTTTTGGAGATATTTGGGAGAATGCAGGATTCTCCTCGTAGGACATAAAAAAAACACAATATCCGTCAGTTTTATTCATATAGTACAACGACTATGCTGTTGCAGTTTACGCTCTTTCAAAATCCTAACTAATTTGTAAATAGTGGATGCATTAGCTAGCTTTCATTGTTTATCTGTTTCCATCACAAATATGTTGAGTTGCGTTGTTGGCAGTTCAGTGACTCTACCCTAACAAAGAAAATAGTTGGGATACAGATGTTAGGAAAATGGAGACAGAAGTGCAACTTGCTTGAAAACAATACATCTAAATGCTTTAACATGAGTGTAACTTATTTTTTCTTAAAGGTCCCATGTCATATATATCATAGTTCCATAGTTGAGGTCTACTAGAATAGATTTCACATTGTTCAATGCTCCAAACTCACATTGGTTTCCTCAAACAGCATCTCTGTATAGTCTGTGTTTTCACTCTCTGTCCTACACGGCTTGTTGGAGCTCCTGCCCCCCCCTCCCTGTGAGCCCAGCTCTGATTGGTCAGGACGTTGCGAGGCTCGCTGCTGCGAGGAGCGGACAGGTTTCCGGGTCGGCGATACAGCGAGAACAAGCGAAACTCATCCTGAAACTCACAGCCGAAGTAAAAACAATAAGTGTGGCTTGATATTGAGGAAGAAAAAGGTTTCTAACGCTGTGAGAATGGGTCTGAGGAGAGCATTTCTCCACCATCCCAACTCGACTATTACCAACCAGGGAGCTCTATGCAAGTCAATGGGACTCCCTGTTAGTGAGCCAAGGGGTCCTGGTGTGTGAGGGGCTCCGCGGATTGGTCCATTTGGGCCAATCCGGTCATTTGTTGTTGATTTGGGTTTTCACACGTCACAGAACCCAGGAAGCAAACAATGGAAAAAGAGAAATGTCCCGTTATCCCTCTTATTTCACGGCCAGATACTAAACACACGAACGACTGGGCTCCCAATATTAATTGAAATGATTTTATTGACTTAAAAATGATCGTATAGCTTCCTCTAAGAAAGTAAACTCTGGCTGGAGCTCCGACAAGTGAATTTAAAGGTCCCATGTCATGGCCATTTCTACTGATCATAATTCCATTGTTGAGGTCTCGCAGCAGCGAGCCTCGCAACGTCCCGCCGAGTGTGTGTGTGTGAGGAAGCCCGCGGATTGGTCCAAACGTAACGGCTCTGCGTATACCCGAAATACGTCACGATACCCAGGAAGCAAACAATGGAAAAAGATAAATGTCCAACGAGGCGTTCTGGGGCAGCACAGACAGGTCTTCTCTGTGTCAGAGTTGTACTCCCTACAGGGTGCACTTTGAGGGTTTGTGACTCTGCAGACCGTTCACATGCAGAACAACCTTCATAACACAAGGGGACGGGTAACAACCGGAACAGCATGGGAGCTTTAAGTACCTCATAAGTTGGGGAAAGGATATACTGTTGACCTTCCCATGTAGAGGATATATATTATTCCGCCTGACGTGATGTCAAAGACGACTGTAACTCCCTTCATGTTTTATTTGAAAAACTCGTTTAAAAATGACCTTAAAGACGTTTTGTTGGATGCATGTCAAAAGAGACCCAAGGAGACAAGGTTTCTCATGGTTTTCATTTATGGTTGTAAAATACTAACAAAGGATAGAGTCGACGATACAGATGTAAAGAACATGGAGACAGAAGTGCAACAGCTTGCTGAAGTAAAACATATTTGCAAACATATTTGAGTCATCTTTATTCAGCATGTCTGGTGTTTAACCGTCAGTGTAAATCCATTTGTAAACCTCTCACATTGCCAGATAAACTGCAGGAACATCTGTACCAACTATCAACCAATGAGTTCTCCTCCAGTTGTCAGAGAATTTAAATCCACCAAAAACTCCTGAGCCCAGCTTTAGTGAATCTGTTCAATATGGACAACATCTCGTCTTGCTGACAGTGTTATTTCCACTTTATCATATCCCGACTCTGTCTCTGTTCACCTTGTCCCGTCTCACTCCTCCTGCCTCACCTTATCTCACCCATTGTCCATCATCTGTCGCCCTCCGATCCGACACTTTTAATCAGCCGGCTATTCAGAAAAACAGCAATCCTTCACTTCCCCTCGCCAACAGTATTTCACTTTTGTGGAGGAAATTCTTAAAGGTCTCCTATCATACTCTTCTTCACCAATATCTCACAGGTCTCAGATATATACAGAACCTGTCTCTGATTGGCTGAAACACCAAACAGATCATTGCAGCATTACCCATAATCCCCTCTGTTTCAGCCCTGTTTCCAAAGTGCTGATTCTCTGTCTGTTACTTTAGATGAAAATAAGGAGCCCCTCCCTACGCCCCTCTGAGAGACATCTGGTTACAAAGAACTCAATGGTGCTCTAGGAGGAGATTCAGGTGATAAGGGGGGTGGGGGGTTCCTTGGTTGCTGATTGGCTAATCGGGGTTTCCCACACATACTGTAGACTATACTTGGGCGGGCTGCCCAGGTATATTAATGGCCGCCCAAGTATATTTCGCGACCCATTTAGTTTTTTGTTTGTTTTTTATAATAATTATTTTTTGTATTAGTCCGTGACCACGACGCCATCTGCGATCTATTAACTTGTGGACAAGGATCCCTTGCTCTACGCCTCCTATACCCAGTCCCGGACTGGCCATCGGGATGACCGGGGGGTTTCCCGATGGCCAGTCCTGTTAAGTGGTCTGTCTCACACAGGGAGACTGGCTGTCTACATGATGTGGTCTGCCTCACACAGGGAGACTGGCTGTCTACATGATGTGGTCTGCCTCACACAGGGTGACTGGCTGTCTACATGATGTGGCCTGCCTCACACAGGGTGACTGGCTGTCTACATGATGTGGTCTGTCTCACACAGGGTGACTGGCTGTCTACATGATGTGGTCTGCCTCACACAGGGTGACTGGCTGTCTACATGATGTGGTCTGTCTCACACAGGGAGACTGGCTGTCTACATGATGTGGTCTGCCTCACACAGGGTGACTGGCTGTCTACATGATGTGGCCTGCCTCACACAGGGTGACTGGCTGTCTACATGATGTGGTCTGTCTCACACAGGGAGACTGGCTGTCTACATGATGTGGTCTGCCTCACACAGGGTGACTGGCTGTCTACATGATGTGGTCTGCCTCACACAGGGTGACTGGCTGTCCACATGATGTGGTCTGCCTCACACAGGGTGACTGGCTGTCTACATGATGTGGTCTGTCTCACACAGGGAGACTGGCTGTCTACATGATGTGGTCTGTCTCACATAGGGGGACTGGCTGTCTACATGAAGTGGCCTGTCTCACACAGGGTGACTGGCTGTCTACATGATGTGGTCTGCCTCACACAGGGGGACTGGCTGTCTACATGAAGTGGCCTGTCTCACACAGGGTGACTGGCTGTCTACATGATGTGGTCTGTCTCACACAGGGTGACTGGCTGTCTACATGATGTGGTCTGCCTCACACAGGGAGACTGGCTGTCTACATGATGTGGTCTGTCTCACACAGGGAGACTGGCTGTCTACATGATGTGGTCTGCCTCACACAGGGAGACTGGCTGTCTACATGATGTGGTCTGTCTCACACAGGGTGACTGGCTGTCTACATGATGTGGTCTGCCTCACACAGGGAGACTGGCTGTCTACATGATGTGGTCTGTCTCACACAGGGAGACTGGCTGTCTACATGATGTGGTCTGCCTCACACAGGGGGACTGGCTGTCTACATGATGTGGTCTGTCTCACACAGGGTGACTGGCTGTCTACATGATGTGGTCTGTCTCACACAGGGTGACTGGCTGTCTACATGATGTGGTCTGCCTCACACAGGGAGACTGGCTGTCTACATGATGTGGTCTGTCTCACACAGGGTGACTGGCTGTCTACATGATGTGGTCTGCCTCACACAGGGTGACTGGCTGTCCACATGATGTGGTCTGTCTCACACAGGGTGACTGGCTGTCTA